GCTCTAAAATTGTTGCTTACTGGCATGCAGAAGTGGTTGTTTAGCTTCATCCAGAGGTGTGGGCTAATTCACATCTCTGTGGTGGATCACTGTTTTCAGTCATTATTTAAATGAGCAAGCAAGAAATAGGATTTAAGTCAGCGTCTCATTTTACATCTGAATTTAGTTACATTTCTAAAGGTCTGTAACACTATAACTGCTCTTCACTACATACTGAACACGTAGACTTACTTGAATGACTGCTTAGTTCACTGTTTGGTGTAGACAATGTTTTATCTATTTTCTGGTTTTTTTTGTGTGTGTAACTTTCTCTTAAAGGAATGGTGCTTTTCTTATTTGCTTGATTAAATCTTAAGTTCTGATTTCCATCAGGCTACTTTTTGATGGCAATTGAAATCCAATTAATAAACAAAAATAGCATTTAAAATTGTTTTCATTAGTTAATTGTGCTAGAGAAAAAAAAAAAGCTTATCAAATCTGTTTTGTCTTTAAAGTGTACTGATTTTTGTAGCAACAAAGCAAGCAGTATCATCTGTTTATGAACTGAATTGTTTTTGGTCATCATGCTCTTCAAAAAGCTGTTTCCTAGAACTAAGACATCTCAGTTTCTGGAGGTGTTCTTTTATTTTTTTCGTTCAAAGAAATTGAGCTCTCTGAGTGAACATCCCGGTGCTGCCTGTATGCCCCACCTACCTGAGAAAAAACTCCCTCCCCACATTTGTATTTTTCAGATGTATGCAGGCAGGAAGCCTGCAGGTCAAACCCAGAGCAAGCTGACCAACACAGACCAACAGCTGATATCTAATCATGTAACAGTAGTGAACAAAGTCCATGTCAAATCCATTTCCCTATCTCCTACCCCCATTTTTCCTTTCCTCTTCTCAGCTTATTTGGTGTTATTTGGACCTGATTAAGGTTAGGAAGCCCTGAGCCCATCCAGCAAACAATGGTAGAGCAGAAGAAGGTCTGAGACAGTTACTTTGGAAGCTAAGGTGGATGTGTGAACCATAAGTCTTGGATAGCGTGGGTTAATATTTTAGCAGTTGTTTTTCCATATTTCTGTGTAAAAAGTTTTCTCCTGCACTCGGTTCCCAGGCTGGCCTTAGACAAGCTGTTTTGTTATGTGGGGGAAAATACAGTGAACAGGGTGCAGAGAGGCTCCGTGGGTCTCCATGTGAAGAAGACCTTTCTGTTGTAAAAACCATAACCTACTACTGATGACCTACTACTACTGATTCCACAATTAATAAACTTTACTACTTCAATAAGAATGCTTTTTAAACATTAAGATTTATAGTTGTACAGTTAATGCCCTTAAAATTAAATGTAATGAAGACAACGTATTGCCAGTTAACTATCTTCGAGAAGAATAACGTGCCTTTAAAACTAAAACTGATTCATCTTTCCCTAAGGAGCCTATGAAAGTGTAAGGGGAATTTGTAATTTTGCTGTAAATATTAGTGAACTCAGCAGTGCTGCCTCTGCTGTTAAAGCACAACAAACATGACCTGAAAAGGCATCTTTTCCCCCTGTTCAAACAGCCTTGAAATCATCTCTTTAACAGCACTTCTATTTCAGAGAAACAATTATAAGTAAAAATGAAGCGTGGAATGCTCTCTTGAGTCCAAGTGGACGTTATTCTCTTCTCTCTATACGCATATATATTTATCTATTTCTTAAATTCTAACTATATATTTAAGTAAGATTCCTTTGGCCTTGTTGTAAGAGTGAATGTTGAAGCTTAGATTCCACATGATGGGAATTGAGCTCCCTAAATTTAGTGCTTCTAACATATGTTTAAGATCTAGGAATGTATTTCAGATATAACTCATGCTGGAAGTTCCTGGAAAGCTACATGACTGATGTGGTGTGGCACGGAGAAGATTAAATTATAGTTGATTTTCTTCCCTCCTAAGATCCCCCAAAGCATCTGTGAGATTGATGGGTGGTATAGTCATTGCATTACATTTCGATGTGTTTATTTTGGAGGACAGTCTTCCAGTACATATAAAAGGATTTTTAAAATATTGTGGGTAAGGAGGTGGACAGATAATAAATAGAACTTGGTGTTACGATATTCTCTTGAAAACTTTTGCTATACTTGATTTCTGCCAGAAGAAAAAGAAAGAGCGGCTGTTTTTGATGTTTGTGCTCTGAAAAATATCAAATGATTTCTTTTGACTGGTTAAAAGTCAGTGTGGGTGGAGAAGTGGACATAATTTCCCAAATTCCTACACTGTTGTACTGGAGATGAATTTGGTTATACATAGGTGTTCTGCAAAAAGAAAAGTGGAAAATGATGAGATGTAATCAATTCAGTAAGGGCAGTTTATCGTCTGTTCCCTAATAAAAATATACTGCAATACATCAAAATGGAATTTTAACATTAAGGAACGTCACAGAATGAACAAATATCAGTAAGTCAAAATGGTAAGGATGGACAGAGGGGGGCAAGAGCTATAGTGAGCTGCTGTAGAGTTGGAACAGAACGTGCAAGTCTCCTGTCTGCCTTTACCTGTGTTGAAGGGTGAGGCAGCAGAAAGGAATTTCTGTGGTGAATTGAATCTAGCCAAGAGAGTGGCTCAAAATCAAGCTTTGGGAAGACAGGAGGAAAACTGCTGCAGGCAGGTGGGCAACAGAGAGAAGATAGGAATCATCTGCAAACAAAAGTAAAGGAGTTTGACCTGCTTGTATGGTAGAGAAATGTGTCTGGAGTTGGATTGAGGCAGGTTCTTGATGCCCAATCAAGTTACTATAAGCAATATTGTATGAATTAGTTCAAGTCTAGCTAGAGGATGATGGCTGGAGGTGCATGTGGGGGAGAAAAGTTTGGTGAGACTTCTGCAGGAGCTGATGTGTAGGTGATTGAAGGCAGCAATCACTGCAATGAGCAGCAAGGTTTTCTGGATTTTGGTTGGAAAGAGTCTGTGTACCCAGTGCAGCTACTGTGGGTCTTGCAACATAACTGGGGAAGCAAACGTCTCACTAATTTGTATCCACGAAGGATCAGTTTTCCAAAGCAACAACATCAACCAAGCATCTACAGTGGCGTTTTGGAATTACTGGAAATCTTGCTGGATTCATGATGAACACATAAAAGGGACTTACTGTGAGTATGCTCACAGGATGTTTGTAATAAGAGGAAAAAATGAGTAATCTCCTGCAAAGCGGTTTTAACATACTGTAGTGACTGGTACCTTTCATACAGATATGAAGTCTCAGGGTGTAGTCTCCAAGATAGTTTCAAACCAATATCGAAGCAGATTAAAAGGGCTGTCCCTACCTTTTCCCGTGCTTTGGCCTAATTGCAGTTGCTTCCTCCCTTGTTGCAGGGCTGCTATTGTGTGGCTCTGTGATTATCCGGGTCAAGGATCCTTGGCTGCTGTCACAAACCAGCTGCAGCCCCACTGGCCCACAGGGCGATGGGTCCAGAAGGCTGGAACTGGTGTCCAGAGGAAAACATGGCCTTAAAGCAGCGCAAATTGCCTGCAGGTCCTTGTACGTGTGAAACATGGGGTCAGTTGTGTAACAGTTGCAATCACCCAGAGCAACTGGCAGAATGTGTTTCTGGTCTAAATATCTTATTTTGGGGTTTCTTCACCTGGTGCATGGAGCTATGCCTGGAATTTTCTCCCCTGAGGTTACAGTTGATAAGTGTTTACTAAAATGAAGTGGTAGAACTTGGAAACAAGCATTTTGTTCTGATTTATTTACAGTCAGTGCACTGGAGCAGCACTTCCCCTTGAAAGAAGGACTGGGATACTTAAAAACAAGTTGAGATGTCTTGCTTCTTTGGTTTATTTTTTGGATTGCAGCTGCTTTTTGCTCTGTGTTGCATACAGCATGTCTTCTTTTTAAAGTATCACAGGAAAAGCTGCTTTGGTGCTTCTACATGTGGGCCTGCACCGCTACCAGAAGCTGCAGAGCTATAGGAGCACGGTGGTCTGTGTGGTGGCACTGAGTGATGCCAACGCATCATCTGCAAATATGTCTGCAGGGAAAGGGATTTTTAGTTCTCTGTTGCTGAGAATAAAGGGACCAAATTTTGAAAGCACGTAAAGGGGCTGCGCTGAGGAGATGTGAATGGATTTTAAGTGCGTCTTACTTCATAAAAGGTCTTACAGTGAAGTGCTTTTGAGAAGTAATCCCAACGTACGCGACTGGATTAATGGCACCGCAGTGTAGTGGGCACTCGGTGCTGCTCCGCCAGCCCAAGATGAGCTCTCCAGAAGCACCTTCTGAGGCTGATAAAGCAACGATGGCTTGGTGCAGCCCTACGGTTGGCTCACTTCTGTGCTGTCCATACAGAAGAGCACAAGTACTGCACTGCATGGTGGCTGAGAGCAGCGACAGTTGTGGTGCGCTGGGTCCTGCAGGCACAGCGCCTGGCCCTGCAGCCCTGGGGAACGCTTCATCTTGTTGGATTCACAGCGGGCTTCTGGCCTGCAGCCAGCACCCCGGCTGTTGCATAATGTTACACAGGAGGAACCACTGGCAGCTTTCATGCTGGCTATCATTCCAGAGCGCTCCCACACAAAGGAAATTGTAGCATAGATGCAACACTGAGGCTTTTTGTGCAGCCGTCAGCACAATCTAACCAAAATCGCTAGGAAAACTAGAAAGCGTTTGGCTGCACCGCTGCAGCCTGCTCACTCACAGCAGCCTTCTCTGCAGTCTGCGTGTGGAAAAGCACCAAGGCAGACGCAGGTAAGGACGAATGCCCTGGGAAGAAGCAACAGCTCGGTGGTTTTCAGAACTCCAAAGCATTAGAATTGGAACTATTTCCTAAAAGATAAAAGAATCCTCTTTTGGCTCAAACCATTCTTTCATGTCTTGTGAATTCCATGATTTCCAGAAAAAAAAAAAAAAAAAGCCAGACTTCAGAGGGCATTGAAGATTTCCCCGTCGTTTCCATGTGTGCTTGTTCCGTACCAGTTCTCCTGTCAGTCTGATTCATAATGTTCAAAAACACTCACTGCATATTTCCTTCTTCCCCACAGCAACAGCCCGAATCTGAGACTGTTCATCTGTTCATCCCAGCCTTGGCAGTTGGAGCTATTATTGGCAAGCAGGGACAGCACATCAAACAACTTTCTCGCTTTGCAGGTGCATCTATTAAGGTATTATTACACTGACTAACTTTGTCTCTTCTCTATGACACTTCCAGCAAGTTTGCACAAGCTGTGTTTTCGTGCGTGTCCTCCCCCACTCCGTGCTTAGAATGTGATGTGATAAATGGTACATTTGTTTATAAATCATCCTTTAATCTTCCTTGAGACAAGATAATTAGAAGCATGTTTTCAAACGTCTTCTGAGGTGTGAAATATAAGCTGCAAAGAAAGCTACTTTGGTGGTCTTGATTTCTTAGAAACAGACTTAAGTCTTAATGATGCGGTGCTTAAAGGGTTTCTCCTTGCTTACAGTAAAGTGAAATTTGGTGAGATAAATTCCCTTTCTGAAACCAAGAGCACAGGTGAAGCCCACTGCTGCTGTGACTGCTCTTGTTCTGCTTTGGAAGGACACGTGGTGCTGGTCCCTCTGGTGACTCTACCCTGAAGAAGCTCTTGTGTTTTATTCTGATACAGCCTGAGCTCCTGGGGCAGCCTGCTGACCACACAGTGGTGCCCTGCTCTATTGCTGGTCTGTTTGCATCTTTGCTGCCCCAGTTTGTTGCCAGAGGTTGGCAGAGGTTGACTTCACGGAAGAGTAACTCAACTTCAGCCAGTTGCTGAGTGTTTGATGCCTTTGTGCAGTTAGTACTAGTTGCTGGGAGGCCTTCTGTTTTGGCTAGTAGTTGTAACCATAAATATCTTTTCTAGGTGCTGGAGATTTTTTCTCATAAATAGTCAGTTCTGCTATTCTGTGCTGCAAAGATGAAGCCTTGGCCTAAATTATGTAGTATTCCACATACCGTTACTGTTTGTAACTTCATCTGCTGCCAGATTGACATTTGGCTTCTCCTAGAAGGTGTTTACTTGAGTGTGCAGGAACTGGGGAACTCTCAGGGTGTGCCTAGTGTGTGGTTTGCTGAATGTCGATCAATTTACTGGCCTGTTTGCTACCTGTTTCTATATGTTGTTAAGCCACTGTTAAATACTTCTACTACCTAGACAGTTCTCATTAGTACAGATTAATAGTTGTGTTTTCAGTGGATTGGTGGAGGAGAAGGAAGTGCAAGGTGTTTTCATCAAATCTGTCTTGCAGGGGATGCAATGTACCACAACCACAACAATTTCCTACTCTCTGGTTTCTATCTATTGATGAAGTGACATGTGGAAGGCATTGCTGGGTGGAGAGATGTGAAATACCCTGGACTTCCCAGAACCAGTCCAAACCCAGTCCATTAGCTGGTCCTTGGAAGATGGTTCAGTGGAGAGGGAGTTCCCTGCGTTTTTCATGCATCTGGCTAACAGTAGCCTCAGGCTGCTTCTGCTGGCTGGCACCCCTCTACCCAGTGTATTCGTATTAATTGAAATTCAGTTAACAGTTTATAAAACTGCAGGTTTTTTTTTTTTTTCTGTTCCTTCATTTAAAAAATAAGTGAGGAAGATTTTTGTGGAAGTAGGATTAAATCGTGAGGGAATTCAGCGAGTACAGGATATGCTTACTGAATTTGGAAGCTTTGCTTTTAATATATTTGAAGTCCTGAATAACACCTGAAGAAAGGCAACAAAGCTGGGGAAGGGTCTGGAGCACAGCTCTTATGAGGAGTGGCTGAGTGAGGGAGCTGGGATTGTTCAGTCTGGAGAAGAAGGGGCTCGGAGAAGACCTTATCACTCTCTTCAACTTCTGAAAGGAGGTTGCAATGACGTGGGGGTAGGCCCTTCTCCCAGATAACAGTGGTAGGATGAGAGTTAATGGCCTCAAGTTATGCCAAAAGAGATTTTGTTTGGATATTGAAGAAAATTTCTTCTCAAAGTGGTGAGGCACTGGAAAGGCTGCCCAAGGGGGTGATGGAGTCACCGTCCATGGAGGTGCTGGAGAAGTGTGTAGATGTAGCACTGAAGGACATGGTCAGTGGGCATGGTTGGGATGGGCCAATGGTTGTACTAGGTGGTCTTAAAAGTCTTTTCCAGCCTTAAGTCTGATAAGTTGGATGTTCTATGTAAGATTATCAATCAGAATAAAAGCACAATTTTAACAGTGATCTGGCCAAACAACATGGAACAGTGCTATTGCTTCTTAGAGAAAAGCGTTACGTGTGATGGCTGGTAATCAAACTTATTCAAAATTTCCATTGTGTTGACCACCTGTCCTTTATCATAACTTCTGAGCAAAGCAATACGTCATAATCGTGCTTTAAACTGTGCTTTAAACATGCATAAACTGTGCTTTAAACATGCATAAACTGTGCTTTTAGCTGAGTTTGAGGGAGTGACTTTAGTAACTGAGTAACTGTTGAGTGCTGGAGTCAACTTGAGTCAACTGTCCAAACTGGTAGCCATGGTTTATGGAGGAAGTAAGCCTTTGATGCTCTGGGCTTATTTTGAGTTGTACTGTAGATAGATGCATATGAAAGCATTGTACATCCATGTGTGTTGTCTTTGTGCTCATGTTGAACTTTGTAGAGCTAATGAAACTAGCTAGCCACAGAACAAGACTAAATAAACTGCAGGTGCAGAGGGGCTCTGCACAAAGCTGTGGTGCCAGTCCATGGCTTTGGAGCCATAGGCAGCTGTTGGCAAGCTCAGGTTCTGTTCCTGTGTCAGAGGCTGCTGCCTGGTGATACAGGCTTGGCATGGAACTTCTGTAGGTGGAATGGTTTATCCAAGGAGCCAGGCAGAGGTTTCTGGACTGCTGACTGCCCATTCTGCTCTGGAATGCTGGGATCTGTTGGGGAACGCTGGCATCTCCTTGCTTAGAAATGCTTCTCACAGTCCTCCTTGCTGCCTTTGAAGGGGCTGGAATGGGCGCTACAGATTTTGGGGGTATGAAAGCAACTGTCTGTCTTAACTCAGCATGTGGAAAAATGCTTTTTTCCTAGTTAGGGAATGTAAAGCTATTTCTCTCAGAAATTAAATATTCACCACTTGGGTACGATTTGTACGTTTATAAACTCTCCATTCAAGAGCAGACAGTCAAAATGAACACTGCAGCCTCTAAGATTGTACCTCCAGACAGTGAAATGTTACGGCCATGATTCTTTCATAGAGTGTTACTCTACCTCTTGGGATCAAGATATTCTAAGATGAAAGCAAAGCAAGACGTCGCAGAACACTTAAGTATGTGTGACATGCAAAGACGTAATGGAAGACTTGCTGGAAAACACTTTTCTTAAAATTTCAATAAAGGAGCACGTGTTCACTAAGAAAATATGTGGTGACTGAAAGGCAAAAACTACAATATCCATTTTGCCTGAATGGAAATCCCCAGGCTGAGCTCTGTTCAGTCAGCTGGCACCCGACGTGCCTTAAAAATTCATCCCTCTAAAAGTTCTGTGTTCCATGGAATTAATGGATTTAGTCTGTGGCACACTTACCCACAGTGCTGTATGTTGGCATTTCAGTAAATGTACCCCTGTAAAGTGAATGTGTATTTTTAGAGCCAGCTGGAATGCAGAAATGGTATGTGAACTAAGTACGCAAACCAGATAACTAGCATGTAATGTATTCTCCATCTTAGGGTACAATATGAATAATTACATAAACTTTGGTTAGCAAAATTCTTTAGCGAAAATGATGCATGGTGACTGGTAATTTGTCTGAAATAAACTACAGCTGTAAAATATGAATAACATCCCTCTGCCAACAGCTAAGATGAAATCCTGTAGTGTTTAAAATATTGCCCATTCAACAGCAGCTATGTAATACTACATGCAACAATGGAAACGTCAGTTGTGATAAACAAAAGATTCATCCAGAATGTCAGAGGCTAGTTTGAATTATTTAATGCCATTGGAGTCTGAGAACAGCACCCATGGAAATCTTACTTTTGTGGTGACATGAACTGCTGAAGACCCTGAGAGCCTCTGTCTCAACTCTGGTGGAGATTAATTTTTATTTGGGTCACACACGTGTCTGAAGATACGAAGCCCTTGGAAACTGAGAACTCTTCTTCCAGTACAGAGGAATGTTTTGGACCTGATTAGTTACAACTGTGAAGAGATCATCTGCTCTAAGGGAGACAATTGCAAACTCTTTCTAATGGGCAAAACTTGTCAGAAAGTCTGTTTAAGTTAGTGGGCAAGGATAAGAATTTCAGCCTCTTAACCATATTTTTCCTATTGAAGGCTACATGTCTTGCCTCACAGCCACATTAAATTGCTTGTGGGATTTTGCTATGTGCAGCTGCATAGCTAAACCTTTAATTTTCAGAAGTAAACTTGCTTATGGTTTAGCCAATTTCTCCACGTTCCGTTACAGGTAATTAATGTACTTCAGAGAGCAAGCTGTCATGACCGAAGTGTAATGTTACTGCAGTAATGAATAATGTCTCACTCTTGAACAGAATGTGAGACTGAAATGGGGAGGAGGTGGCTTTAAATGATGCCTTCAAAAGATAGGTACCAAACTGCTATGTTTGTGCTTTCCAGATTGCCCCTGCTGAAGGACCAGATGCCAAGCTGAGAATGGTTATCATCACTGGACCTCCAGAAGCTCAGTTTAAGGTACATTGCATAAAAACATGTTGATATGTAGGGGGTCTTTAGGCTGCAAAGGCCAATACTAAAAACGAAACATTTGGTTCTAATTACTATTTCACTCAGAAATCTAACAAATACTAGATTTTTTGCTTTCCATTTACTGAAAATTGTCACATGAATACATGAGTAATACAGTATCATCAGAGGCAATGTTCTGGTCATCTGAACACTAGTAGCAACTTCACATCAGATTCACATCAGATATTTTCATGTTAGACTTGGTTTTTTTACCATGTTGTATTCCTATTTTTGTTACCTATGGACACAGCAGTTCAGTCTTTCTAGCTCATCTTAATGCATACAACAGTGCAGCATATTTAACAGAAATAACAAAGCTGACAAGATGGGAGACCGAGCCTTTTCAGGTTACTGTTGCATGTTGACTGGAAAATGTTTTTTGGGTGGCTCTGCAGATAAGGACCAAGTTTCTAATTGTATTTACCCTGTAATTGCATGGAGATACTCCAATGTGATTATTCTATTTGTGTTCAAATTGAGTTATGGAGTGGCCTTCTGCCTTGAGTGCTGAGGGCTATGTCTAATTGCCCCCAAAAGGAGGTGACTGTTAGGAGTGCAGATGGCTCAGTACAGCAGCTCTGTTTCACCACAGGTGAGACACTGAACAGGTAGGAAGCCACTTGATAGATCATGTCCTGGCATGGCTCTCCTGCTGCTTTTTTTTTTTTTGGTCTTCGCATTATTGCCTCAGGGCATCTTGCAGTAGGAGGAGCAAAAATTCAGGCATATCTAGAGTCAGTTTCATTAATGCCTTCAGGAGTTTTGGAGATATATCAGGGTGGGTATTTCACAGTGGTAATAGATCTGGATGCATTTGGGATTGTTATTCAGTTTGTTCTTACCATATAGATTTGAAAACCTATCAAATGTAAAGCACAATTTAGAAGCTCCACCTCCTTGAAGTGTGTTCTGAGCTTCTAGGGGCCTACCCACATGGCACAATCCACATCTAGGGTGCTCTCATGACCTGAGATCAGCACAGGTTGGACTTGTGGAGAGGCAGAGGCAGAGTTCAGTTTTTTTATTACCGCTCTTAACTTGAAGCAAGACAAATCAAACTCAAGCTTCGCTAATTCTGTCCTTTAGCTCTGTGTAGGTGTCTTTCCATCTCTGAGCACAGACTCTTGCTTGCTGCACAATAGGAATTTAATCTGGATGCACAGCAGTTTGAAGAGGGAATGGTTGCTGCTTGGATGAGTAACCAGCTCCTGGAGAGGCCTTGTCAGCGCAGAGCCCTATGAGTTTGGCACCCTTACCCTATTACATTGTGTTCTGCTCCCTGTGATTCATGTCAGTGGTAGCTGCAGTGGCTGCACCCTTTCTTTCTCAGCTGTTGTAGCCTGAGGATGTTGCAGTTTGCAAGGCTGTATCTATGAGCAAGGGAGCTGGAAGAAGGGTGAGAATATGCCACTGTTCACAGTCTGTGCTGCAGTGCACCCCAGAGTTTAGGCATACATGTGATACCACTACTCAGAGGGGATCATGTTGCCTCCAGTCTGGGAAACCATCCAACAGTCTGCAGGTTGTCCAGGTGTTACCCATTTGAAAAGCTGTTGAAATAAAATGGGCCGTGCCACTGTTTGTCATGTAACAGATTTGGAAACAATTTCAAGATCTCCAACTCAAGACTTGGAGCAGTACTTGAGCTGCTCTTCACCAACTTGCTTGAAGAGTTTTCCTGCAGCAGGAATCTCTGGTTCTCAGATTGTTGGATGGTCCACAATGCAGTCTCTTGCTGCATTTGTGTGGTGTTTTAGTGGCTTTCTAGGTACAGACTTTTGCCCCACTGGCATGCTCACTTAGTGTCCTCTTAGTGACAGGATGTCCCACCTAGACCAAAACAACGTGCTGCAGATTCTTTTCAAACTGTTCATGTGGAATCTGACCTTGAAAAACACTGTGTATTTTCAGCTCCAGTGTCACACCATGTATTTTGTCTTACTCATTCTACAGTAGTGTGAACTTGACTAATCTTGAGGGCAAGCAAAAAAAATGAGAACTTGGCACTGTTTAACATAATTATCTGATCACTGAATTGTCTTGTATTCCATTGTAGTGGTAGACTGCAAGGTGGCTGCACTTAGTGACAGGGCTGGTGGATATGATTTAAAGGAATAGATAAAGGATCTGAACTGGAAAGGCTTTGTGGCTAGAGGTTTCTTCACAGAGCATCTCTTCAGTATCTCAATAGAATTCATCTTCTGATGCCTGTAGGATAGACAGAGTAGAAAATCTAGTTACTACTTCTCAAGAATTCACTGACAAATGGCAGGGGATGAGGAAAACATCTTTTAACATGAATAAGATTCAGCAACTTAGTCTCAGTGGACTTTCTTCTGCTACCTGGCACTTGCATATGCTCCAGAAAAGGCAACTGTGCGCTAGCTGAAGCGATACTGTTCTCATGGTGCCATGTAGATCTAGACAGATTTAATTTTCTACTTCAGAAAATTGAGCAAGCTCTGATTTTTTTTTTTTTTAAACAATATGTTGTAATTGAGTGTAAAAACTAAGCTGCTTATTGCAAGTGAAGTCTTTGTCCTGTGACTTTAAGTTTAGCATACTTAAAAGAACAAGTTTCTGAGCCAATTAATGGCATTCTGTGCTTCTGGGTGCAATTTAAAAAAAAAAAAAATAACAGATTTCATCCAGACAGTTCTCTCTACCACTACAGAGACGTAATAGCTTCTTCTAAAAGCAACGTTTCTATGAAAAGGTAGAATAATAATCTGTTAAATCGTTCCTTGATTTGCTGGTCTGTCATGTAGTTTTAAAAGTTAGACGGCAATGCTCCCTAGTTTGGTACAAAGACTTTAGAATAGAAGCTGCTGCATTGATTGGGAAAATGCTTTGGTGAAGTTGTATATTGAAAATTCTCCTTTCAGTGGAGCTTTTTGAAGTGAACTCCATCTCAATAAGCACGCTCTTTAACCAGAGACATTTTTGTAGGCTCAAGGGAGAATCTATGGAAAACTTAAAGAAGAAAATTTCTTTGGACCTAAAGAAGAAGTGAAACTTGAGGCTCATATAAAAGTGCCATCCTATGCTGCTGGTAGAGTTATTGGTAAAGGAGGCAAAACAGTAAGTAGCCAATATAAAACTTACAATGTTATTTTGTTACGTTTCATAATTCAGTGTATGTTAAAGGTTCAGACACTTAGCTAACTAGTTAATAGCTAACCCTTTCAAGTTTCATTGAAGCTGATGCTGTTTTCTCAACTATGCTTGTTAAACTTTTTATTGCCTCAAGACAAACCAATCTCAGACTTTTTAGAAGCACATAATTCTGATTTAACCAGTTAATCATAGTCAGATCTATAGGTCATATTAGAAATACAGTTCTTCCACTTAAAATTAAAACATAGCCATTAAGACCTACTTCTTTGAACTGTACCTTATGCTAGATTTTGGAATAAGAAAATAGAAAATAATCCACTGATCTCATTTGGTTTAAATCAAATCCAATGTGTACACAAGTGATGGCTTTGGACCAAATGGAGTCAAAGCATAATTTCTAAATTAGTGGTAGAAAACCATAATGTGTTCAAAACTCAATGTCAGAAAACAGCAATGACCAATGACCAGTAGGTAATTTGCTTTGTCTAACAGCATCTCCTCAGCTCAGTTCTTTTTATGCAAAGATGCTGGTATTCCTGTGTTTTCATATGTCTGTGAATGAGGAGATGGATACTGGCGAAGAAATGGCATCAGTCTTGGGTGTTCTTTGACATTTTTTTCTTCCATACATTGTATGAGTTCTCTGACCTTAAACTTGTAAAATCAACTGCACTGTGGCATGTAATCTGCTTTTTATAAGCAGGATAGTTAATGTCTTCTGTGTGTTTTATTTAGACTTCACAGCACTTCTAGAAGCATAGAGAATTCGGTGCTAATTTATCTTAGAGAAAGGAGGCTCAGTTTGCAAAGTATGCTGCTGCACAAAGATGCTTTCTGTAGTGGGTTTCCTTTTTTGGACAGGATGTTTCTAAGGTCAGCAGCATCTTTGAGGCGTGGATGTTGTGGAGTTATTTGTTTGTCTAAGATTTTTTAACAGCTCTTTATTTACAGGTAAATGAGCTTCAAAACTTGACAAGTGCAGAAGTTGTAGTCCCTCGTGACCAGACACCTGATGAAAATGACCAGGTGGTTGTGAAAATAACTGGTCACTTCTATGCATGCCAGGTAGGAGGACTGCAGTGAAGTTCTACATTGCCTTGATGTTTCTATGGACTGTCTTCTCCATCTATGTGTGTACAGATAAAAGACATGCAGCCTGTAGGAAGCACTGCTTGCCAGGCTTGTCTAATTGTCTTGCTGTAATGAGAGAGATTTATAGCAGTGTTGCATTTATACATATGTACAACAATCTTCTTTGCAAGTCTCTGTTGCTATGTTTAGGTGCAGGCAGTTACAACTTCCGAAGCAAAAGAAAACCCAAGTTGTTGTAATTGGACTGAAATGCTGATGAAAGAAGGATGTAAGCTTTCTCATGATACCTGGCAAGGAATGCAATTTGTCCATATTTCCCAATCTGTCAATTTAATGTCATAGAAAAGGATCACAAGATTCCTTCCCTTGCCTCACTGATTCCTTTGTTAGGTTGCTGCAGGTGATTCACAGCTCAGAAACCAGGAGGGCTACTAAATTCTGTGAGATGTAACCTCCTGAGATCTCTCACGCAAAAAACAGCTTCGCTAGAGCAGACTGTTCTTATAGCAAGTACCTCCAGGGGAATAAAATGAAGTTAGTCTGGAACTTCAGTTAGTCTTGTTGGTAGTCATATTCCTGTGCTTTCTATATTACGCGTGGTAAACCCGAAGATGGAGAAAGTAGAAAAGTTTAAAACTTGTGCACTACAACTAAAAAAGATTATATGATGAGTAATCGGTAATGAGTAATCAGTTCTAGGAACTTGGTTAGTCCAGGTTTTTGGTGTCCCAGTAGCATCTCTAGGGTCTGTTGTGAACTGCAGTAACTTCATGCCATCATCATGGGTTGTTTCTTCTTTATTTCCTTCAGCTTGCTCAGAGAAAAATTCAGGAAATACTGGCTCAGGTAAGAAGGCAGCAGCAACAGCAAAAAACATTGCAAAGTGGACAGCCTCAGCCAAGACGAAAATAAAGGTTTAGGAAATGGCCCATCAGAGACAGATGCCAGACCAAAGACAGACTGTGCAACAGAGAGACGGGTGGTGAGCACCTGTTGAAGTTATATGCAGAAGATCCACCAAGCCAATCACCTGTTCGAGGACCAGGCAACCGCTGAACGCTGTCTCTGAGAATGTATTCTTTAGGCTCTCTCAAACTTTTGAAACCCAGCTTTAAAATAAGGACCCCTTCACTTCCCTTTTGTTCTATTCTCACAATTTAACATAAACTCGTTAGTCTTTTTTATTGTTCTTATTATTCCCCAACAATTTTAGAACTTGGTTTAATGAAGCTTTCTCTTCTGAGTTCACTGGTTTAAAAACAAAAAAAAAAAAAAAAAGAAAAAAGAAAAAAGGAAAAAAAGAAAAGGCATTGCTCTTATAGGTCCAGCGGTAAAAGAAGAAACACATTAGGAGGGTGGGATTGTGGGTGGGCTAGGGTTAGAGCAAGGGTATCGACAGGAGTTTAAGTGTTAGTCCCAATGTTGAAACAAGTGGCATTTTTTAAAAAGAATTTGGTTGCATTTTTACATAACACTGCCATGAATAACCTAAGGGAAGTGTTGAATGGTGTTGGCCAGGGCATAAAAAGATAAATATGCATTTTACTAAACTACCTCAGGCATTTAGTACCTCAATGAGAAATTGTTCCTTTTTTGCTTTTTTTTTTTGGTATTTTGTATACTTTATAAAGCTAATAGTTCTTGAGCATTTTATTTTTTTAAAAAAAATTAAAATTTGATCAGCCACCAGCCAGGAGTACTACGGACTTATCGGGGGAAAAATATAGCAGAGCACTTCTAGCTGCTGGCTGATGGGAGTAAGGTGGGTAAAAAAAACACGGCCTCAGATTTTCTGAGGGCTTCAACACCATCATTTGTTTAAAAAAAAAATTCAGTGAATGTTCAAAAGATAGTGAATGATGCCAACATTCTGATAGCAGCAATGCCGTTTAGTTTTCTTTTAAGATGGGATGAAAAAGTTTGTGACGGTACTTTTTTGGGAACAGGACAAGGAAGTGATGGCAAGAGGCTGGGGTTGGGGGAAAAATTTAGAAGGATGCAAGAGGCTGAATTTTTTTTTTGTGCTACTTGATTGAATGCATGAACCCTTTGTGCCTTTGACCATCACTACCTAATAATGCTACATTTAACCATTTGCAGCCCATTTGGACTTTGCCATTTTGTTCAAAGAGCAAGCTTCATCTTCAGTTTGATAGAACACTCGATCTGCCAGGGCGTTTTGGAGGCCGCGAGGGTCTCTGCTGTCTGCAGATCACATCATACTGCTTTCAGTTACCACGATGGGGGAAGGTCAAACAGTGTTTGATCACGTTGAAAGATAACGAAGGCTAAGTTTACATATCCAGCCGCTGTTATGGGCCACACTAAGCCACTTTGAAGGTTTTAAAACTATTACAAGAAAAAAAAAAACAAACCAACAACCTCTCTAGCCTGGCTTATAATAGATGCAGCAGGATTTATGCACGTTCTGCAACCAACCATTAGAGAAAAAAATGTCAAAAGGCAGGGATAACAGGAAAGTTACCAAATTTTTTAATTTCAGAATGTAATTTGAATGCTGATTGTGGTAATAGTGACACATTCAAGTTTCTACAATAAACTTCAGTCTACCTCAGTTTAAAAAAAAAATGTGGCAACACATGGTGCATAAAGACTGCTGTGTGTGTGTGTGTGCGCGTGCGCGCCTGTATGTGTGTGGTCGACAGAGCCATGCTATTACCTCTGAACCTTTTTTTGTGATGTTTTTTGTGCATGAGATGATCAGAATCACCATGCTGCACTGATTTGAGGGGCACAACGAGCAAAAACATTTGTTTCATCATTTTGTTATCTACCTCTTAGGTTCATGTTGAAATAGAGGCATTACTACATAGACTAGATAATTTTCCCAAAGATCATTGTTGTACAGATTAGATAATTTTGAAAATGGTCTGAAGTGTTTTTCCTGCATCTCTTCTTTACTAATTGGTTTAAAAACCACAAACTTATGTTGTAGTTTTAGCAAAGAAAAATGAGTTTCTTTTCCTTTTTTGACAGTGACCTTCATTCTAGCCTTTAGGATAATTTTTTTTTTCTTACAATGAATTTAAAATTACTGAAGTATGAAAAGTCATAGCATTTTAATTTTTGTCGAGGCTTAAGTCAGTCTGATGTTCCTTTCCTAATATTTGAGAAGGATTTGACTTCATTATTTTCCATAAAAATTATTTACAAATAGGCGCTGCATTTACATCTACTGATTTAATTACTGTCATATCTCTTAAATTTCTAGACTTAGTATGATAAATCATGTTTTATTTTCAATTGAGACTTGGTAATTTGGAGTATTTGGGAATAGCTAGAAAGTAAATACTGTAAATGATTTCAATATCCACAAAGTATGGATCATTTTTCATCTGTAATGTGCCCCCCAATGCAGCTCCACTTGCCAGATGCCTCTGAATGGAATAAAGAGTTTAACTCCTATCATCAGATACAGTTGTGTGTTGTTTTTTTAAACTAATGAGGCATAATGACTGACTGCTCTAAGTATTTACTGTGCTTTGATCGAGTTGTTTTTCTGTCTGTAGTAAGAACTGAGCAAGGCTGAACAGTCACCCGCAGGCATTCCACAGCTGCGAGGGCATCCAGCAGCCAAGCTATGATGTTCACGCTTTCCAGTACAAGTAGTGACTTCTGTGGCTTCCAGTTCACCTTTTCGTTTTCATACAACAGCACTATGGTTTGTAGTACCACCTTTAGTTCAGTTTGTCTCGTGCAGATAACTTAGTGTGGTTTGCTCTGGAAGGAACATGTGCACAGCAGTTGTGACCCAATGCAAACCCAAAGGGAGCTTTTAACAAGTTTCAAGTGAGATCCGAGTTGTGGTATAAACTTTCTTTTTTCAGCTGCTTTTTACCCAGTCTTTACTTTGATGCTTTGTGTGTGGTGCAGCTGGGCAATGAGCGTGGCCCCAGGAGCCTGGATTGCTCATTAGGGAGTAAAAATGGCACCTTGTATCCCTCCTGGTTCCACCTCCTCTGTCCCATACACACCCATTGTCAGGAAGGTGGTGCCCTCAGTTAGATCTCAAGAGGTGGTTTTTTCTCTTGATTTAGATCCCTTTTAATGTTGTTTGAAATGAGATATTTCATTGTGAATGCTCCGAGGTGAGAGGGAGGTGTTGGGGAATGAGGAAGTGTTCACAAATAACTCTATCTTTTAAAGTGGAGTGGAAAACCAGGCTTCTTTTCCAATCTCTTGCATCTTCCCACTTGTCTTCACAGCTCATTTACTGAGACCAATCAGCAGAAAGAGAGAACTGAAGAAATGATGTCTGCAAAAACACTGTATGGTACTGCATTTTACAGGGAAATTGGGCTCATCTTTCCCTTGAGCTCACTTCTCAGACCTGGCATCCCTGCCCTTTGAGCAACATAAATTAAGCTTCCCTCCTTAATGCTGGTGCACTGGCCATCATTAAACCTCTGACTTTTTAATCATTTGCTTAATCATGATGCTTTTATTTGCTTCTAACCTTACGAAGCTTTTACTCTTGAGCTGCAATTTCAAAGGCATGCGCTCTTTATGTTAGTTTCCGTCAAGTGAAGCATGTATGCTGTGCAGTACAAGCAGAGCAACGTGGTGCTTGAGCATGGGGTTTCAAAATGAATGTGAGAAATCAGTGGAGTAAGCACTCAAGCTGGGTAAGCTGGGCTGTAACAGCTGCTAGCTCAATTGATGGATGTAGACACTGCCTGATAACTAAGTTACTTAAATGCAGTGCAGGAAATTTTGTGATGTGGTGACCAAAGTTTGATATTGCTGTCTACCATTGTCAAGGGATCCTGAGCACACCTTTGCAGAAGACTGATCAGTGCATCTGTCTCGCTGGACAAACTACAGAGGGGCCTTTTTATTTTACACAAGAGTCTCACGTTATCCATGGAGGAGAAACATTCCCATGTGTTCTTCCCAAAGGGATTTAGTGTTGCACAGCAGTGACCAGCCAGACTTTGTTAATTCCAAGGATTCAAGAGTCAGACCAAAGGCTCTGTGAGTCACATAGGGTGATACTGATATGATGACAGATTACGTTAAATGAGAGGTGAAGAAGTTTTCTTCCTGAGCTGGAATTTCTGATTAATAGCAATCAGTGGATTTTTCAGCCAACTTCTTTTCACAATGTGCCTTAACAGTGAATTCTTTTTTTTAATGCATCTTAGTGTTTTTGTCTCATACTTTTCTTAGTATCATTCATTGCTAATGGTAAGAGTCCTAGACTTCACATGACAGCTGTTCCCTATCACTTCCTGTTCTTTTCTAGGCTCTCATTACTGTTCTTTTGTTACTAAATGTTAAAGTATGGTGAGTGCATACAATAGGGTAATGTGTGCTGAGTCTGCCTCTATTCAGCTGGCTGTACATCTCCAGCACGAAAGGCTTTCGGGAGCGATCTGAAGCTACTTTATGCATCTCTCCTGGGAAAAAATGCCTGATTTTGAAGCCACCACAATGTGTAAGAAAGCCCATGTTCCTCTAGGTGAATTTCTTGTTGCTAAGGATCAGGAAGCATTTTGCAAATTGTTTTTTGCAGACACGTTTACCACTAACACTTTAATTTTGTGGACAGATTTAGTGTTACCTCCATTCATTAACTATATTTATTATTAAAGTTCCTTGTTCAATTTGCATAACTATCTGCTGCCTTCTATCAAAGAGCAGGTGAGTTCACAGAAGTTACTCCTAAAATAAGAGGGCAGACTCAGCATGATAAATGACCCAGATTGGAATAGAGCAAATTATATTCTTTGTTTACAAACCAACCAAAATCCAGATGCAAAGCAAGCTTCTCCAGAAGAAAGAGATCCTAATCTAGCAATGAAAGCATTGTTCCGTAATGAGAAAACAAGACTTGTTACCATCCTGAAGCTCATGTAGCTGGATTTTAGCAGTTGCTGACCAAGAACAGTGTGCAATGATACAGATATCATTGTGTGATGCCTGTAGTCATCACTGTAGTCAAAATGATGAACTATCTGTCCAACAGCAAGTTATGCTAAGTAACAAATGGCTTCCTCTAGGACTATTTTCACCCACCTCAAAAGGTCTGAAGGCTTACACTGCCACAGCATGTTCCTTAGCGTCCTCTTCCAGGAACCAGGTGAGAGGAAAACTTCTGAGAGGCTGGCTGTGCACTTACAATAAGCTGAATGTTTTAACATGAAGGCAAGGAATTGAAGTTCTTCAGTTGTGTTTTTATTACTATTATTAAAAACAGATTGGCCTTGGCTGAAGAACTGACTTACTATTCTGTTAATTCAAGACACATTTGTTACTGCTACTCTTGGCTTTTATGAGTTCAGCAACACCACTGTTTTCTCTCTTCCTTCAGC